GACATTTTCTGAGGACATGGTCTGACGGAGCGGTTGAAAAACTTTTGGCGCGTATGTGAACACATTTGGGACTAACAGGGTTTACTAGAATCCCACCACTCCACCACAGAGTCACCGCAGTAGACGTTAGATGAGCGCTGTCGCTCCGCGGCACTTGTTAGTGAATGTTCCATCTTCAATAACTTAATTGCACACTCCTTTGTTTTTATATACTCCCGATAATGTGGGTGTGTTGCTACTGAGTGCTGTGTTTGTACGTGCATGTCTTCCTGATACAGGTGGTCAGTGAGACACTGACCTTGTCTAAAGTAGACTGAGATACCGTGGAGGTGTCTGTATGTAGTCTGTTCTCTACCTTTTCCCAAATCTTGTGTGATATCACTGGAGGGTAGAGGGTGACGAAGCAAGAGCAGTGCCGTCAGCATGTCTCGGCTTACACGTTAGTTTTTTCTTGTGTTTTTCAGTACGAGAGCGGTGCAGCGACCAACTACATTGGTAGAAATCAAGCCATCAAGAAGCTGCAGCTGACTATAGCAGACTTTAGGTAAGTTGTCGGCATAGCTATCTGCGATGCTGAAACAGTTGCAGATCTGTCATCCTCGTCGCCACTAAACACTTGAAGTTATTTAAAATGTCACTGCTGCAGCAAACATTGTCACATTTATAACTAAGTGTGACCAAATAGAGAAATTAGTTACTATACTTGTACTAAAATGACTGTTGTTGAATTTACAAGTGTCCATACGTGCACAGACGTAAGTTACTACTTGGACTAGTATAGATTTAATTTGTTTAAAAGTCATTCTTGTTCTCTGCAGACGATTATGCATACTCAAAGGAATCTATCCGCATGAACCTAAAAACAGGAAGAAGGTGAACAAGGGAAGCACAGCCCCAAAGACTTTCTACTACTTGAAGGACATTCAGTTTCTTGCCCATGAACCCATAATTCACAAGTTTCGACAGTTCAAGGTACGAAAACGTCTGTTCCCAAATGCGTCCCTAATGTTGCAGGAAAGATAATGGATGTTCATTGCATCTAAAATTGTAGCCAGAGTGGTAATGGAGCTTCTATCATCGCTTTGCCTTTGCAGGTATTTGTCAGACGATTGAAAAAAGCCGTCGCAAAACAGCAACCCGAAACTGCTGAGAGGCTACGTGAGAACAAGCCTGTGTATAAGTTGGACCACGTTATCAAGGAACGGTGGGTACAGTTTTATGTTTGCAGGGATGATTGCGTTTGTGTTTGGTGTAAGTACCCAGCTGTGGAATGCAGGTATCTATAGACAATTACTCAACCTATATTGTGTGTTCATGAGGGCATAATATAAGACCTATATATGTGCGTGCGTGCATCTGTGCATGCGGGCATAATATAAGACATATATGTGCGTGCGTGCATCTGTGCGTGCGTGTATAAGACCTATATATGTGCGTGCGTGTATAAGACATATGTGCGTGCGTGTATAAGACCTATATATGTGCGTGCGTGCATCTGTGCGTGCGTGTATAAGACCTATATATGTGCGTGCGTGCATCTGTACATGCGTGTATAAGACCTATATATGTGCGTGCGTGCATCTGTGCGTGCGTGTATAAGACCTATATATGTGCGTGCGTGCATCTGTACATGCGTGTATAAGACCTATATATGTGCGTGCGTGCATCTATGCATGCGTGTATAAGACCTATATATGTGCGTGCGTGCATCTGTGCGTGCGTGTATAAAACCTATATATGTGCGTGCGTGCATCTGTGCGTGCGTGTATAAGACCTATATTTTGTATTGCAGGTATCCGACGTTTATCGATGCACTGCGTGACTTGGACGACGCACTGTGCATGGCCTTCCTGTTCGCGACCTTCCCCAAACAGTCACGCACTCACCTAGAGGTCATTCAGCTGTGTCGCAGACTCACTGTCGAGTTCATGCACTACGTAGTCACGGCGAAAGCACTGAGAAAGGTTGGTGCTGAGTAGCTGATAAAGGGATAGGTGTGGGGTAGGGATGAGAGAGCAGCATTCAGGATGGGAAAGGAAGGGTGGTTGAAGAAAAATAACGGAGGGGACTGATCGAGATAGAAATGGGGCTGAGGGAATAGGGAAGTAGCTGAGAGAGGAAGTGCAAATTTAAGTTAATATATATATATATTTATTTAATTTAACTAATGTATATATATTTCAAAGAATTAAATATATGCCCATCTGGTTTAGATCACTGCTGACACATGATACAGTTGAATGATCATTATTATTGGAATGAATTTGATCTTGCTTTTTATATTCTGAATATCAATACTGATGACACTGTAGAAGTTCTATACTACCATTGCCTTTAATTTACTCAATATGCGTGTGTGCGTGGCTGCGTGCATGTTTTGAGTAGAAACGTAGAAATCCATAATTCCTGTGCATATAATATAACATTTGCAAATTTACTTACTACCTTAGGTGTTTGTGTCAATCAAAGGCATCTACTATCAAGCAGAGATACATGGCCAAACGGTCAACTGGATAATACCACATCAATTTGGCTACATGGTGAGCTGAATGCTGTGCATGCCGTGTGATCCTTGCTTGACGCTCGATCAGCCCTAAGGTTATAATCGGCGTCGTGATAGCGTGTGCTGTGTTTAACAGTGCTAAATCTGAATTGCCTACGCAGCTTCATATGACGAAACAGACCTATTGCGTGTGTCTCGCGTTGCCTACGGTAACAGAATCCCTTTCGCACGCAGCCACCGGAGGATGTGGATTTCCGCATCATGGCGACGTTCACGGAGCTGTACACGACAATGCTTGGCTTCGTAAACTATCGTCTCTACCACGGCCACGGCCTCGTCTACCCGCCCGCACTCGCTCGCTGGACCTCTATACACCGCACGCAGGACGGCGACACCTGGTGTGGGGAGGACGAAGTAGCAGACGAGGTACGCTGGGTGTTGGGTGTGGTGGGGGGGGGGGTCGTTAGGATTTGCAGCGTCGACTGGCATTAAGATGATGCGACTGGTGATTGATTGAAGGAGACAATATGGTGTTTAGTATGAATGCTAATCGGAATGCTATTTTCCATTACTGTTTTTAGCTCATCTGACATAGTCAGATGCAGCTTGTAGAATCGCTTGATCGTCCGTCCGATCGTCCGATCG